CACATTGATTTATCAGTCTAATCAGGCTTTAGCAGAGCTCAGTAACACTGAGATTAATAATCGATCACATTGATTTATCAGTCTACTCAGGCTTTAGCAGAGCTCAGTAACATTGAGATTAATAACCGATCACATTGATTTATCAGTCTACTCAGGCTTTAGCAGAGCTCAGTAACACTGAGATTAATAATCGATCACATTGATTTATCAGTCTAATCAGGCTTTAGCAGAGCTCAGTAACACTGAGATTAATAACCGATCACATTGATTTATCAGTCTACTCAGGCTTTAGCAGAGCTCAGTAAGGTGGTGGACAATGCCGGCTAACACGTTGGTCTGAAATTGTTTGAGTTTTTGAGTTACTGTTGGTCTGCTGATCAAACAGTTTGAATGTGTCTGTGTTGACCAGCACAAAGGAAACAATGTTTTTACTAAAAAATCACTACTCCTCATTTTCATCATCAAGCCAACTGAGTATTCTACATTACCTTCTTCTTACTATTACAATCATTATTCTATGTTTTTTTTGTACCGTTTGTACCTCCTTGCAAAAGCCATGACAACCCAGGCAAACACCTGGCATACCACGCAGATGGTCTAGTAACACCTTAACAACCACCTTAAATGCCATAACAATGGCCATGAAACACCATAGCAATCACCTGAGATACCATAGCACTGGTAAAGCAACAGCTTAGTACTAACCTGAGATATCACAGCAACAGCCTAGCAACAACCTAGCAACCATCTGGGATACCATGACAACGGCCTAGCAACACCTTAGTAACCACCTGAGATAGCATAGCAATGACCCAGCATCAGCTCAGTAACAGCCTGGGCTAACATAGCAATGACCTAGCAACATCCTAGCAACAACCTGGGATAAAACAAAAATGGCCAACAACACCTTAGCAACCACCTAGGATTTCACAGCAACAACCCAACACCTTAATAATCATCTGGGATACCATGATAACAACCTAGCAACCACCTGGGATAGTATAGCAATGGCCCAGCAACACCCTAGCAGCCACCTGGGAAAGCACAGCAATGACCTAGCAACACCTTAGCAACCACCTGGGAAAGCACAGAGAGGACTTTGTCAAGCCAGTATAAAGTTCATTCCCAAACGTTCTCTTTCAAGTTCAGATTATTTTTCATTTACTGAGCCCATTTAACACTCCTTTGTTTTGTATTCATGTATGTCATCTTTTTCCTTTTTTCATCCAAAATTTTCTGCCTTTTTTTAAATTCAGCTGAGAAACTGAAAGTGCAACTTTTGACCATTTTCAGCCAAAAATTTTTGGTGGTCAAAGTTTCAGTGCATCCCCCTCTTAATGCATAAATCTTAATATTCTTTATAGGGAACCTTATGCTACGTTCACATGTTTGCGTTGGTGGTTTATTCCACCGCTGCGGTCGGAGGCAAAAGTTGAGAAGATCGAACTCTTGATGGACTGTTGTCGCTTGTGGTGGCAGAATTTTCCATTGCAGCTCCACTGAAAACAATGGAATTCGCTTGCTGTTGTTCGTCTACCATCAACATGTGAACGGCGCATTATAATTAGCCTCCAGTGCAAATTTTTTACATTTTAAATACAACTTTAAATGAGTCGTCTGAGAGTGATCATCTTCTTGAACGAAGTAGGACTCCGAGGACTAACGTGCAGAGCAAGACTACAACAGCAGTTCAGACCATCCCAGCCGAAAATCCGCCTCCAGCACTGCGAGCTGGCTTTTATCTGAGGCTGCCCAGAGCAAAGCGCTCACGCCTCGCGTGTTTTATTTTTATTTTATCATTGTTGTTGTTATCTCGCAGCTTTCTCGAGCTTTCTCTTTCATAAAACTCTGAAAACACAGTGCAGAGACGGGTGGTTCGCCACGTCAGTCACTCAGAATGGAAAACAGCATCAGAGCCCTCGAAAATGCTGCAGTGTTTTTCTTTCATGGGGAAAAACAAGGGCTGCATGATTGAAGCACTGAAATAACAGAGCAAGAAGCCGTGGAGTCCGACCCCCACCGAGCTGCATTATTAAACTCACACCAGTCGTCTTCATAACAATAAATCTGCAGCACAAAACAAACAGTAAATCACAGCAGCTGCACTGACCCACTTCACACTCAAAGGTCTGGAAGGTCACAGTGATTTTCCAGTGATTGACATGACCAAAGATTCCTAAACTAAACTTTGTGCGATCTACAAGAAAGTGCATGATGGGAGAAACACACTATATATACACAATATTGAATACACTGTACTAAACGTATTCAGTAACATCCATCCATCCATCCATCATCTAAACCGCTTATTCTTCTGGGTCGCGGTGGGGTGCTGGAGCCTATCCCAGCTGTCATCGGGCGGAAGGCAGGATACACCCTGGACAGGTCGCCAGTCCATCGCAGGGCAGACAAACAGACATATACATCCACACACCACTCACACCTAGGGGCAATTCAGCATGTCCAATTAGCCTGACTGCATGTCTTTGGACTGTGGGAGGAAACCGGAGTACCCGGAGGAAACCCACGCAGACACGGGGAGAACAGGCAAACTCCACACAGAAACGACCCTGGTCACCCGGCCGGGAATCGAACCCAGGCCCTTCTTGCTGTGAGGCGACAGCGCTACCCACTGCGCCACCGTGCCGCCTTATTCAGTAACATATTCTATTATAATACATTAAAATCAAGCCACCTAGAATACCACAGCAATAACCTAGCAACATTCTAGCAACCACCTGGGAAACCTCAGCAATGGTCAAGCAACAGCTTAGTACTGACCTGGGATGTCACAGCAACGGCCTAGCAACACCCTAGCAACCACCTGGGATAACATAGCAATGGCCTAGCAACGTTCTAGCAACCACCTGGGATACCACAGCAATGGTCAAGCAACAGCTTAGTACTGACCTGGGATAACACAGCAATGATCTAGGAACACCCTAGCAACCACCTGGGATACCACAGCAATTGTCAAGCAACAGCTTAGTACTGACCTGGGGTATCACAGCAACAGCCTAGCAACACCCTAGCAGTCATCTGGGATAACACAGCAATGGCCTAACAACAGCCTAGCAACCACCTGGGATACCATAGCAACAGCCAGACAAAATCTTAGCAACCACGTGGGATACCAAAGCAATGGCCCACTTCACGCTGAAAGGTCTAGAAGGTCACAGCGAACTAAACCTTGTGTGCTCTACAAGAAAGTGCATGATGGGAGAAATAGTACTTCAACAAGTGAAAGTGTAAAAGGCGTACTTCCACTCACTGGCCACTTTATTGGAAACAATTTGTCCTTAATAATAATAATAATAATGATTACAATTATTATTATTAATATTATTGTTATTAATGCGGTTACCATACCTCTCAGTCCGGAGGGACACTGGCACTGGAACCCTTTGTCTGCATTCACACAGATTCCGGCTCCACACGGGCTTCGACCTGCAGAAGTCTGTCTCCTCCTGACACACGTCACCACGGAAACCAGGAGGGCACACGCACAGGTACTCGCCGCTGCCTGCCGGACGGTCCACGTTGGTCACACACGTACCGCCGTTCACACACCCGCAGGGTCTCACACCCACCTGACACACACAGAGACAACTTTAGATTTACATTCAGATTTAGATACAGATCTGGATTTGGATTTGGATTAATATTTGGATTTAGTTTAGATTTCCATTTCCATTTTGATTTGGGTTTGAATTTAGATTTAGATATAGCTAAAGATTCGGATTTGGTTTTGAATTTAGATTGAGATTTAGATTTGATTTGGATTAAGATTTAAATCTGAATTTGGATTTAAATTTGGTTTTAGATTTACATATGGATAAAGATTTGGATTTGGATTTACGCTTTAAATTAGATTTAGATTTACATTTGGATAAAGATTTGGATTTAGACTTGGATTTGGATTAAAATTTGGATTTGCATTTAGATTTGGATTTAAATTTGGATTTAGACTTAGATGTAGCAATGGATTTAGATTCAGATTTGATTTAAATTAAGACTTTTGGATAAAGATTTGAATTCAGACTTGGATTTAGATTTACATTTGGATAAAGATTTGGATTCAGACTTGGATTTAGATTTATATTTGCGTAAAGATTTGGTTTTATATATAGATTTGCATTTGGAGTAAGAATTAGATTTGGATTTGTTTTTAGATTTGTTTTTGAAATTGCATTTGGATGAAGATGTGGACTTGGATCTAGACTTGGATTTAGATTAAAATTTGGATTTGCATTTAGATTTGGACTTAGATTTAGTCTTAGATGTAGTAATGGATTTAGATTCAGATTTGGTTTGAATTAAGACTTTGATATTCTTACACAAAGATTTGAATTTAGATCAATTTCAGTTCAATAAATTTAAATCTAGATTTGGGTTTAGATATAGATTTAGACAAAGGAAGTAAAGTGAGATTTGGATGAAGTAAAAATTTCTAAAATTTAGAAAATGTTAAACCTGTTTGTCTTTTTATTTATTTTTTTGTTTTGTTTTGTTTTTGTGTCCTGTTTATCTGTTTATCAAAACAATTACTAATAAAAACAATCAATTGTAAAGTTGTAACATAATGATTGTCATTAAGAAAGTTCCTAGAACTGCCTCCACAAGTCTGTTTTCATTCATTAAATTGTAAAAACTTTAAAATCAGAAGAGACACAAAGTAATAAAAGTTCCTAGAAGTGCTTGAGCTCACATTACTAATTTGAAAAACTTTGCAGAGCATGTTTACACCTTTTTTTAATTTATTTATTTTTCTATTTTTGTTCCTCAAATTGCCTGAAGAGCCTCTTTAACCCGCGTCCAGCATCACTCGAGTAAACCGGCCGACCTGCTGCCGCTAATCGCTCGGATTCACCTCCCGGATCTCCTCTGATGAGGTTCTTCACGTTTTTTAAAGCTGCTTCAGCTCATTAGAGATGCAGCAGCTCCAAACAGCTGCGCTAGCTCATTAGCGGTGGTCTAGCGCCGAGCTGATTACGGATGAAGGGGATAAGCTAACGCTAGCTGGAGGTAATTAGAGCGAGGTGACGCATTCACAGCCTGCAGTGATGCTGCGAGACACGGAGGGGGTTTAATTCGCTCCGGGAGGCAGAAGCAGCTGTTTCCTATCAGCCTGAGGAGTGAAGAACATCAAGAACATCACTGCTGACCAGGTGGTGGACCGTCCTCACCACAGAGACTTACAGAGTCAGAACTGTTCACAGTGGTGGTGATAGGAACCAGACGTCCACCTCTAAAAGCTCCCTCACAGAAAGTTCCTACATGAAATGGTTATGAATTCACTGCCTGATGACTGAGACACTGTTTTATGACAGTTTTGAGAACTTAAACTCCATTCATGGTGGAGGGATACATGCAGGGCGCTGTGAGGCAAAATAGTCCCCAAAGAAAACTTATTATTTCAGATTTTCCACTATTTTCCATCATCAACATTCATATAAACTCAGAAGACTCGTGTAGGTTCACTGGTGGTTCTGGATAGTAAATAAAATGTCTATATTTGTGTTGTAGCCATGGCGACCCCTGGTTCCCATCACCACCACTGTAAATAGATTTTCTCTATAATTAGTTTACATCTCAATGACTTATGCAGCCATGATGCTAATTGGTGGGGTAGCAGCCTCCATTACTTGTTAGCTACATTAGCCTCACAGCTCTGGTGTAAATTTAAAGAAGCAAACCTCAGTTCTCGGTTGATGGACTAAAACGTACGAATAAGAGCGTCCGTTCAAACGCGTAATGTATAAAGGTAAGATGACAGTATTAACACATTAAAAAGATGTACTGTAAAGTCAATCTGGTACATTATTATCAATTATTATTATTATTATTTGGTCTTTTTATAGTGCAGACAAGAGTAATGCATCTGAAAAAAGGCTAGTGTTAGCATTAAAAGTGCTAGCATCAACTAGCTTTATCATTTTTTCTTTAGGTAACTTGCTAATGCTAGTTAGGCGCCAGTTTTGTTATTTTAGCTATGACTGAGACGAGTTTAGGTAGCTAAGCTACCTTCAAATCATACCTAAAAGAACAACTGGCAAGGCCATCAAATTAGCTAAGCTAGTGCTAATGTTTACTAAATCAACAGTAAGGTAAAAATAGCTGACTGGTGGTTCTGGATAGCAAATAAAATGGCTATATTTGTGCTGTAGTTATCAATAGCTAGATATTAGCTATAGCTACCATTTCTACCTTGTTATTGATAACTTAGCTAACATTAGCACTTGCCTAGCTAATTTGACAATCTCACCCGTCTTAACCTAATCTAATTATTAGGTTATAATTAGGTTAAGTTAATTAATAATTAGGATACATAATCTAATATTAGCTACATTATCAGTAGCAAGGTAAAAATAATAGCTAGCTGGCTCCTGCCTTGCTATTGATAACTGAGTTAATGTTAGCACTAGCCTAGCTATTTTACAGATTCACCTGTCTTACTCATCTTATTTGTTTTATCTGGCCTCTGATAACTTAGCTAAACATTTAGATTTGGATTTGAATTTGGATTTAGACATAGATGTAGTGATGGATTTAGATTTGATTTGAATTAAGACTTTGATTTAGACTTCAAGATTTTAGTTTAGATTCACTTTCAGTTCAATAAATTTAAAGATTACATTTGGATTTAGATACAGATTTAGACAAACCGAAGTAAATAAAGTAAATTGAGGTTTAGATGAAGTAAGAAATTCCTAAAATTTAGAAAATGTTAAACCTGTTTGACTGTTTTGCTTTTGATTCCTGTATATCTGTTCATCAAAACATTATTACAAAGGAAAAAAAAATATGGTAACACTTTCTATGAATGTCACGTTTGTAAGCGTCTATAAACACATTTATAACATGTTATAACGCCTTCATTATAAACATGATTATAAACATTTATAAAAATGAATTACACTGGATTACACTTTATAGCCATGTTTATTATACATTATGAATTGTTAATATAATGCATTATAAGTAGTGTTGATAACATGTTATACTGTCAGTGCCAAAGAAGTCAGTCCCAGCTTGGAGAGCGTAAAGTAAAGACAAATACCAAGCTAACGGTGGTGAACATTACCTTTCCCACATTGGGTAAAACACTGATGGCAGCTCTAGTTTAAACTCTGACATTTGAAGCCTGTAATGTGCTTTACTGTGAATGTTTTAGTGTTTCAGTAAATCCTTCAGTAAATACTTCAACTTGAAGCCTCACTCTGAACACTGGAGGAGGCTTTAGTACAGTACGCTTCACTTTACTTAGAGCGGACTAATACGACTTATGAGCTCTTATAATTTGTTATGATCAGTACTTATAATGTATTATGTTAACAATTCATAATGCATAATAAGCATGGCTATAATGTATAATGCATTTTTATAAATATTTATATCCATGTTTATAATGCCTCATGAATGCATTATAACATGTTATGAATGTGTTTATAGATGCTTACAAAGGTGACATTCATAGAAAGTGTGACCAAAAATATTAATAAAAAAAAATTACATTTTTAAGGGGAACTTTAATAATTAGATAATAAAATAATAATTAGAATTAGCTATCTAATTATTTTAACTTACTATTCATAACGTCTAGCTAGCTCCTACATAGCCCTAGCTAACTCATCGTGGGCAGTCGTGGGCTGGAGGTTAGGGAATCAGCCCAGTGACCGGAAGGTCGCCGGTTTGATCCCCTGAGCCGACAGTGCGTGACTGAAGTGCCCTTGAGCAAGACACCTAACCCCCAACTGCTCCCCGGGTGCCATGGATAGGGCTGCCCACCACTCTGGGCAAGTGTGCTCACTGCCCCCTAGTGTGTGTGTTCACTAGTGTGTATGTGGTGTTTCACTGCACGGATGGGTAACATGCGGAGGTCTAATTCCTCTGTGTGCAAAACAGTTGGCTAATGGTTCTGAATTCTATTCTACATTGCTGTTCATAACTTTAGTGCTAGCTAATTTTACGGTTGCTCAGAAAGTGTCTCTCCCCGCACACGATTATGTCACCATGAATAGCCGACAGCAGCCGTTAGCTCAGAGCGTCAGCCCCTCAGAGAAGGCAGGTGTGTCTGAGGATCATTGGTGTGAGTTCACTGTGAGATCAGAAGAGCTCTGAGAGGTGGAGAGTCGAGGAGTGACTCGAGCGAGGCCTGCTGTGATGATCCGAGACGGCGGGGGGGGTTTAATGTGCTCCAGGAGGCAGAAGCAGCTGTTTGTTATCAGAGGAACGTGTCTGCGTTTCTGAGAGCCGCTCAGCTCCACATCAAAGCTCCACATCACGACGAGAGGAACGTTCACAATACATAAGACCGAGCGGGCGAACAAACACGGCCGAGCGGATCTGCGAGAGGAGGAGGAGTTTCAGAGACCTGAGGGGTCTGAGGAAGGTCACTGACTGTAGAGCTGCAGGTCTGCACACAAGAAACTGGACTGAGCTGAGCTGAGTGGACTGTCCACTCACTAACGTACCGTAGCTCCTGTTCACAGCCCTCACTGTAACGACTGTTTACAGTAATGAGGATTTTACTGCATCACAGAACTGGATCTCTATAAGAACATATACTGATACCAGTACCTCTCTCTCTCTCTCTCTCTCTCTCTCTCTCTAAGTCTCTTTCTCTCTCTCTCTCTCTCCTTGTTCTCTCTTTCTCTCTTCACTCTCTCTTCATTCTATCTCTTTCTTGCTTCTTATTTCTCTCTCCCTCTCTTTTCACTCTCTCTCTTTTTCTCTCCTCTCTTCCTCTCTGTCTCTTCTCATTCTGTTTCTCTTTCTCTCCCTCTTTTCATTCTCTCTCTCTCTTTTTATTTTATCTTTCCCCTTCTCCCTCTCTCCCCCTCTCTTTCTCTCTCTCCCTCTCTTCCACTCTCTCTTCCTCTCCCTCTCTTCCACTCTCTCTTCCTCTCCCTCTTCCTCTCCCTATCTCTTTGCTCTCTCTCTCTCTCTCTCTCTGTTTCTATGTCTCTCTCTCTATCTCTCTCTCTCTTTATCTTGTCTCTCTCTCTCTCTTCTCTAAGTCTCTTTCTGTCTCTCTCTCTCTCTCTTTGTTCTCTCTTTCTCTCTTCACACTCTCTCCATTCTCTCTCTTTCTTGCTTCTTCTCTCTCTCCCTCTCTTTTCATTCTCTCTCTCCTTATTTTCTCTCCTCCCTCTCTCTCTTACTCTCCATTCTCTCTTTCTCGCTTCTTCTTTCACTCCCTCTTTTCATTCTCTCTCCCTCTCTCCTCTCTCTCATTCTTGCTTCTTCTGTCTCTTTCTCTGTATCTCCTCATTTTTTCTTTTTCCTCTCTATCTCCTCATTCTCTCTCTCTCTCCCTCTCTTTTTATTGTCTATCTTTCCCTGTCTCCTCTTTCTTTCTTTCTTTCTCTCTCTTTTCATTTTATCTTTCCCCCTCTCCCTCTCCCCCTCTCCCCTCTCTTTCTCTCTCCCCATCACTTTGCTCTCTATCTCTCTCTCACCTGTACAGTGTGCATGCTCTGAGCGTCACACTCGTCTGTGATGGTGAAGATGAAGGTGTGGGTGGTCTCTGAGTCGACGCTCCAGGTCAGTAAGCCTGCCGGGCTGAGCGAGGCCCCCAGGGGTCCGGCCTGGAGCTGAAACAGCAGGGCCGAGCCCTCGGGGTCCGCCGCAGTCAGCTGGAACACAAACTTCTCCCCAAGAAACGTCTGCAGGTTGTCCCTCGGGGGGAGGAAGGAGGGAGGACGGTTCGCTGGAGAGGAGGAGAGGAGGATGAGCAGGAGAAGGGGAGGGCGGGAAAAACTGAAATTCACATCACAGTGTTCTCCTCTGAGTGATCAAACACAATACAGTATCACGATAAACCAAAATAATAATTATAATAACACTAAGTCACAGCATAATTTACTAAATAACATGCTTATAAGCATCTTATAACATCCTTATCCTACTAAACCCATAAAACCTTGTATTTGGCAGATATTAAAGGGCCCATGTCATGCAATTTATCTCTCTAAGACTTATGTAGTATGTAAACATACCGCTCATCCCCCTGTCTGTACAGTCCCATCTGCAAAAACAGCCCGTTTTGAATTCATTGTTTTTGTGATGTCACAAAAACATCTAATTTACTTATAATCCACAAATTCAACCTACAACCTACTTTAGCCCTGCCCACTCATTCTGAAGCTTTAGGGGGAGGGTCCACCTTTTTGAATACAAAGTAACTAATCAGAAAGAGCTCATTTACATATATTAATCTTAAAGGCACAGTAACAAAGAGAGCCTGTTTAAAGGGCGCATACCATGGAAAACTGATTTCTGTTTCATTTGTAATAAAAGAATTTAAGGTAGTATGTAAACGCTGTCAGAATGTGTGGCTCACACCCCACTCCATACAGTCCAGGCCCGTTTTGAAATCGCCATGTTTGTGATGTCACAAAAAACCAACTCATTCACTTTCATACAAATACATATTCAGTTTGTTTCCGCCTGGACTTTTTGAATACAAAGTAGCCAATCAGAACAGAGCTCATTTACATATATCAGTCTCAAAATTACAAAATGAAGTTGGAAAATGTATAAATGAGCAGCCCAAATGTTAAGAAGAGCCATTTTGTCCTTTCAACAAAAATCAAACCACCTCAGGAGCCACAATATTTTATGTCCATTTTACCATCTTGGCTGTAAATCTGTCTCAGTCTGTGCTGATGAACTAATATACAATAAAAATATAATATAAACGAAAACTCAGACTTACTTTGCTCTGGTTTAAGCTTCAGCTCAGCTACAGCTGCTTTTCTCGCATCTCCAGCAGGAAACTTTTCTAAAGTAGAACAGTTTCTTGTAAAATGTCTCTCAGCATTTGATTTCTTACGAGGCTGAAGTCGCTTCTCATTCTCCAGCTGCTTGTTCAAAATTTCCTGTTCCACCTTAAATGGTGCCTGAGGCGTCAGACTGTAACTGCAGCACCATTTAAGGTGGAATGGGAAAATTCAGCTTCACAACCTGACACTCTTTAAGGTGATTGCCATTTCCTGACCAAACCGGCGGTCTGCAGTTCCTGAGAGTAGGTTTAGCTAACCATGGCTAATCTGATTAGCGCCGTCTCACAGGCTGTAATTGAAGCAAGTGCTGAGATGAATTTAAATGATTTAATGTATCTCTGCTGTCTGTGGTGGCATTTTAGTACTTTATTTTCCCCCCATAATATTTGTGCAAGTCTATGCACCAAAAATAGCCATCATTTATTTATACCAGCGGTCGGCAACCTGCGGCTCTTTTACTGCCCTGTTGTGGCTCCACAGCTGAATCAGATTTGTAGGTAAAAATAAAATAATCCTGCTTTACAGTAAAATAAAGCTCTGCTGATCGTTCAACACAGTTTAACAATAAATGGTCTTAAACTCTGGAGTTAATGTAGAACTGCTGATTCACCCTTTAACCCTGAAGATCAGCGCAGGCTGCTGGTCACCATAGCAACACAGACAACAGTCTCGCCTAGCTAGTAACTAACGAAACGGCAAAGAGAGAGATTTAAGACGAACATCGATAATTTAGAGATGAATGGACTTATTTGTGTTTATAATCACTCCAGCTGGTTTCCCGATATGTTTAATCTGCAACGAGAAACTGACAAACACTAAAAAGTCACGAGGCTGAAGTTTCTCATTCGCCAGCTTCTTGTTCGAATTCTCCCGTTCCACCTTAAATGGTGCAGCAGTTACATTCTGGCACCTTAGTCACCATTTAAGGTGGAAAGGAAAAATTCGGACAAGAAGCTGGTGAATGAGAAGCGACTTCAGCCTCGTAAAAAGTCGAGCAATGAGAGACATTTTACAAGAAACTGTTCCACTTTTGAGGAAAAGTTTCCTGCTGGAGATGCGAGAAAAGCAGCTGTAGCTGAACTAAAGATTAAACCAGAGCAAAGTTTTTGTTTATATTATATTTTTTAGTTCACACTAGTACATCAGCACATACTGAGACATATTTACAGCCAAGATGGTAAAACGTTACTTCAATAAAATGGACATAAAATGTTGTGCCTCCAGAGGTGGTTCGATTTTTGTTGACAAAATGGCTTCTCTTCTTAATATTTGGGTTGCCGATCCCTATATAAGAACAGCACATTCAAAAAATGGAAAATGGGCTGGTTTTGCAGCTTAGTTTCCATATTTGAACTGTATGGACTGAGTAAATGATACTCTTTTGCCACAAAGTTTACAAACTGCATGCGACCATTTAATTAATTAAAAAAGCAAGGAAAATTAATTTTTCCATGACATGGATCCTCTAATATGGTAGAATATCTTGTTCAATGAGCGAAACAGGAAAATACAGCACACAGCCTGTTAGGTCATCATTTCTTTGGGTCATAATTCACTAACGAAGTGACTCTTTGTTCAGATTCTGGTTGAAGTATTATGAACATGCTGTTTTATTGATGAATGTGTTTTGACAAACAGGCAGATGAATAACTGAGTGCAGGCTGAGTGAGTTTCACCTTGATTAATAGTCCAGGTGTATCTGGATGCTGAGGAGTTACACAGGAGACACGGGCTGGACGGGCTAACATCTCCGTCCGAGAAACACATCCCCTCTATGTTACATGTCCTGTCCTGAGAGAGAGAGAGAGAGAGAGAGAGAGAGAGAGAGAGAGAGAGAGAGAGAGAGATCGAGAGATCAAAAAGTGGAAAAATTCTTGAAGTACATGTTAATGTCTTTTGAAAAGCCTCGGGGTCAAAAACAGATCCTTGCAAGAAAAGCAAACAAGTTGTTTTTACATATTAACGTCACACACAGACTCAAAAAGAAGGTCCGGCTCGATGTTTCAGCCTCAAATTATCTAAAAATCAACATCATACTGATGAAGATGTGATCAAGTTTACACTGAGTTCTCTCCGAGTTCTCTTTCAGTCATCAGATTCATCCATGTGGTTAAGGGGGCCAAAGAACAACCCACTGTACTACTAAATGTTCTGCGCGTAATTACACATTTCTACCAGAGAGGTCTCCAATTCCCCAAATCTTACATAGTGGAGCGTTAAATACCAAAATTTACCACTTTTAGTTTTTGACACAGCACATACTTGACTTAACACCTTAAAAGGCCAGTTTTTATTACACACTTCTCTAACATAAGAATAGCTCAGCCAGTTTGCACTGAAGTCCCTGTAGTTACTGAATAATAATCCTTAGTATCTATTAAAACTGAGATTTTAAGAGGTTGATTGTTTTTCTAAATATATGTTTTTTCAAATATGAAGACTGCAAAAAAGTTGGGACAGTAGCATGTTTATCACTGTGTTATATCACCTTTCCTTTAAACAGCACTTCGTAAACGTTTAAGGACTGAAGAAACAAACTGATCTAGTATTGAAAGTTAAATTTTTTGCCATTCTTGAGTTATATAAGTCTTTAGCTGCGCAACCATATTCATTGTTGCATTTTGTGCTTCATAAACCATATATTTTCTATGATTACGCAGCCATGCTGTTAAAACACGTATAAAAGGATTCTTGACGTTGTCATGTTGAAATAAGCATGAACGTCCCTGACAAAGGCATGTATGTTCATTATATCTCTGCCATGGGCCACCAATATGCACCAAGACAGATGCTGGATTTTGAACTTTATGCTGGTAACAATCTGGATGGTTCTTTGGCCCAGATAACACAACATCCACTATTTCTATAAGTAATCTGAAAGGTTGACTCGTCAGACCACAATACATGTTTCCACTGAGCATCAGTCCATTTCAGATGAGCTCGAGCCCAGAGAAGTCGGTGGCGTTTCTGGATGTTGTTGATATATGACTTCCGCTGTGCAGAGCACAGTCTTAACATGCATTTGTGGATGCAGATATGAACAGTGCTTATTGATGACAGTTTGTCAAAATAATCCTGAGCCCATGTGATGATCTCAATACAGAAACATGCTCGTTTTAAATGCAGTGCTATCTGAAGGTTTGCAGGTCATGGATATACATTTGTGGTTTCCAGCCTTTTTCATTTTTGCACAGAGATTTTTCTGGATTTCCTGAATCCTGTTGATGCTATTATGCTCTGTAGGGGTGAAATACCTGAAATCCTTTCAGTCACTCGCTGAGGAATGTTATTTTCAAACTGTTGGATTCTTTGCATTTTTGTCAAAGTGGCCTCAACCATAGAGGACTCGGCCTTGCTTGGATGCTCCTTTTATATCCAAGCATGATTGTATCACCTCTTTTAAAGTGTTTTCTGAACATTTAACAATGTCCTGAGTCTTAAAGTCCTCCTGTTTCAATTTTTTGGATTAATTAATTGATTTTTATGCATTAATGTCAGAATGAGTGTAAAAAAAAAAACAAAAAAACAATGAAATTGTTAAGATAAATAAGGTAAAACATTAAATAGTTTTATTTCTTTCTGTTTTTATTAGCATTTTGCATACTGTCCCACCTTTTTTGGAACTGGGGTTGTAAAATCTAGTATGGGGAAGATGAGTGTGTCCAGAGGAAAACCACAATAAAGCATAAGAGAGAAATACCAGCAAGCAGAGAGAGAGAGAGAGAGAGAGAGAGAGAGAGAGAGAGAGAGATGTAGAGATAAAGACAGAGAGAGGTTGAGGGATGGTAGGAGGTCACAGCAGGAGTTTGTTGTTCTCAGGTGTGGCGTTATGAATGATGTTCTGCTCTGTTTTCCTCATTCACACCGATCTGAACTCCAGAAGAACATGTTCCTCTGTCAACCCAGCTCCCCCTGCCCCCCCCACACTGCTGCTTCCTGAAAAGGCCTTCGCTTCACACAAACAGCAAAGTCAGAGACCACCATTCGTTTATTTCCTTTGTTCCACAGAAGCCTCAACAGCTAAATCTAATCCAGCTGTTCAGTGTTCAGTCAGTCACTCTTTCCCTTTATTCCAGCTTCCACTCTTTTCAGGAGACTCACTTTCAGCTCCTCAAAGAATCTGCAGACACACCTCCAAAGTTCAGTCTTAGAAGCTGGTTGATCATTTTCTGAAGTAATCAAACACATTCAGTGGTGTTGAGGTCTGGACTCTGGGGTGGTCAGTCCATTGTTCAGCTTCTTTGTTTGATGTGTCCGTCTCCTTTTCTCAGTGAGGTTCTTCTTGATCAGCTACACATCCTTTCAGACCCACAGCGCTGAGTCGTCTTCTCACAGTGGAAAGATGGACAGAAACCACCTGGGGTACCATAGCAACCTCGCAGCAACACCCTAACAACCATCTGGGACCCCTTAGCCAGCAGGCAGCAACATCTTAGCAATCATCTGGAATACCATAGCAACATCTTAGAAGCACCCTAGGAGCCACATGGTATACCATGGCAACTGCTTAACCACACCTTAGCAACCACCTGGGATACCTTAACAACCACTTAGCAGCACCCTAGGAACCACTGGGTATACCATAGCAACCGCTTAACAACACCTTAGCAACCACCTGGGATACCTTAACAACCAGTTAGCAGCACTCTAGGAACCACTGGGTATACCATAGCAACCGCTTAACAACACCTTAGCAACCACCTGGGATACCTTAACAACCAGTTAGCAGCACTCTAGGAGCCCCTTGGTATACCATAGTAGCAACCTAGCAACACTATAGCGACCACTTGAGATACCAAAGAAAAACACCAATCCAAACCCTAGCAACCACCTAAAATACTATAGTAACCACCTAGCAACATCCTAGCAACCACCTAAAATACTATAGTAACCACCTAGCAACATCCTAGCAACCACCTAAAATACTATAGTAACCACCTAGCAACACCCTAGCAACCACCTAGAATAAATAAAAAGAGGCTTGTAGTGCCAGTTCAGGAGTTGCTGGAGTTAGTGTTACAGGGTTAATTATCATTAATTATTAAATCTCGTTTAGACGACGTTGAACAGTGTAACCTGAAATTAAAACTGCAATTGTTCAGATACAACGACGATTATTTGTTCAGCTCTATGTCCGACTAGAAGAGGGTTCTGGTCTTGGACGTACGGTTATTACCTTTAACTGACAGAGTCCAGAAGGAGACGCTACACACTGCTGACAAACACCATCATACAGCGTCAGCACCTTCACGTTACTGACCACAGCACCATCATTAGACACCTGAGAGAGAGAGAGAGAGAGAGAGAGAGAGAGAGAGAGAGAGAGAGAGAGGAACACAGGATTATTTTGTCATTGTTGTAATTAATATGACTAAACATTAATGCAATAATAACTTAATTACATGACTCAATATATGCATTGTATATAAATGTATTGACTGCATATGTGATATATATGATATATACACTCATTGTATATATATATATACACTGACATATACATGCACAGACACAGTTATTGACTATGTATGATTGTATGACATTATAAAAACTCAATAAAATGTATATATGATGTATTAATTATGCACTAATTGGCTGGAACGTGCAGACACTGCTGCTCTCCCTGAATGATGTAGACTGGACACGGTGTTCACTCAGATCTTTCTTTCGCATCAAACCTGAACAATTAAGACAAGCTTATTATTATTATTTAAATCTTTGACAGGTCTCATAATAAATAACCACGTGTGTGCGGTTCTGTTCGCGTCTGGTTCTCTACGAGTCTGTATGTACGGCTGCGAGCGAGCCGTGCGCCGGGCGAGTGATGGAGAGGTTCATTAGCGCTAGCGGAGCCGTGCCGAGTGTTTGGAAGGTGAAGTTAAAGTCAGAGGCTTTTGGCTGAAACGGATTACAGACAGAATCATCATCACCTTCCTCACCCTCATTAATCTGCAGAGCGTCGGGGGGATCGCAGGGCGCTGCGGGGGGGACAAACCGCAAAATACACAGCACTGCTTTACCGCACACAAACAGAGAAACCCACACAGCTGACTTCACTCACCGGGCCTGATTCATAAACTCACCTCCAGATTAACCGTGACAGTAAGAGCGAGCAGCGTGGCGGTAAAGCTGATTTCACACCAGGAGCGACGCAGGGAGCTGGAAGTGAGCCGGAAGCACTCAGCACTCTACACTGGACGTGAAGAGAGCATCGCGAGAGCTGCTTCTGCTCTGTTTTCATACAGTAGAAGCTGCAGATTTATTTATGGTCAGTTCATTACCTAAATAAACTTATGTAGATGGCATTTGAGCACAGCTATCAAATTAGCCGTTGATTGTTTGAAAGAGATCGACGATAAAACCTGACCCGCTGTCGTGACTGCTGCTAACGCCTGAACTACTCTGACGGTAGTTTTTCCTGTAAACTTTCTAACTGCTCCTCTAGGAGGACACAGGGAGGAAGGAGAGTCACTCCTGCAGGATTTCAGACGGACACTGAACTCAAAACAGCCTCTTCTTCCTGCAGTGTGTTTGGCGAATCCCCCTCCTATGTGTGGAAAACAGGTTGAGCTTGGAATTCAAATAAGTGAAGAGTAGTTTGACATGGTGAGATTCTAATTACATGCTCAAATTGATTTCACTGCAAGCGGTTTTAACTTTTCATACCAATTTTTACTTTGCAAAGGATTTTACAAAGAAATTCAATGTGAAAATGAAATTTTTACTGGGTAAAATCATTTTTTTAGTAAAAACAAAATTCAAAATGTAATATTTACTAGTGCAATTTTAATTTTCACATGTGCAAAGTTCCTGATATCAATAATAATTAATATCGATTTCAGGAATTTGACTTAATGTTTACTAGTTAAAATTGTATTTTTGTCAAAACTGAATTCTGAGATCGAGAAAAATCTGAAAAAAAGCTAAAATGGCCTGCGATAATAATGAAAATTTCATCATGTCAATTTATTTTTTAACTGTGTGAGAAAAAAAAGATGTTAAATTTTAATTCATATTTGTAAAAATTGTTACTTCAATTATAATAAATTGGAAAAAAGGCTTGAATTCTTACCGATGAATAAAATCCTACATGCTGAAATATAATTCCTACACACTTAAAAAATATATGGTTCTTTAAGGGTTCTTGTGCACGAATGTGCTGTAGACGGTTCTATATAGAACCTTTTTTCTACAGCACATTTTCCAACAGTCTTAAGAACCCTTTCATGATGCAAAGCACCCTTTAATCATGCAACCAGTTCTTTGAGTGTACATGGTTCAATATAGAACCATTTTCTTTACTAAAGAACCCTTGAAGAACCTAATTTTCTAAGAGTGTACACATAAAAGAATTTAAGGATGCTGTAATTACGTTTTTATATACGAATAATTTTTTTTGAACAGCATTTTTTGATGAAGTTTTGATTCTTGATTAAAAGTTAAAAGCATTTTTACCAAACAAAAGTTAACATAAGAACTTATGAAAAATTTGCTTTTTTTTGTTTCTTTGGTTTTGTTTCTTTGGACAGCCAATTGTAGCTTCACTTGGGAAATCTTTAATATGTATGAGCTCATTTGCATGTGGATTGTGATTGGCTCTTGTCTAGAACACTGATGAAAATGCCACCATGTTATTATCGCTACAGTGATTTTATGAATAGCTCTTATTTACCGTGACGAGATTTATGAATCCGGCCCAGAGTGTTTCCATGGCTAGTGCTGATATTCCTTAGTCGTGGGCTCCCACACAATTCCACACAATTAATATACTTGTTTCAATGAACTAAGAGTCAGAAATAATTAACACAAAAGTACAGCATGACTTTGCTGGTATCAGCTATGACTGAGACCTTTAAGGGTTAAATTAACCCAGATTCAGGTCCAAAAGCTAAAACTAGCATTTAATATGTTTTTTGCGTTATGTTTTGCTGCACGCCTTTGCGTCCCACAGCCTCACTAGCTTTAACAGAATTCACCTCCATCAGTGTTCCCACACTACAATACCCAGCATGCATTGGTCAAATACATCATACAACCAATGGGAGTCCCCCTTGCAGCGATAAGGAAATTCTGAATGCTAGCATAGCCACTGATGTAGTAAACATGTGTAGCCTATCAAACCTCCCACCTTCAAGCTGCATCATCAGATGGGGGTTTTTCCCGTCTTCAAAACGGAAAATCTCCCTCCAGACGCCGTTCAGCATCGCCGTAGGAGGCGAGTAGGCGTGTTTACAGAACACGTAGCCATGGTTACTTTGTCAGCTTTGGCCAAAGTGCCCCTTTAAGAGAATAAACTTTCTTCCATCTTCACTAAAGTCAACGATGTACTTTACGGAACGTCCCGATCAGCGTCTGAGGAGCCATAAATACGACCGCTGTCATTCCGAACGGCACCCATTTCCCGCCTCGCCGCTCTGGTGATGATGTCATATTTTAAAACACCCCCCGTCCACACAGATCGTTGAGATTTCCCTCAAACAGTGTGCGCAGCCAAACGCCATTAAAGCCGCCGCTGTGAAGGAGACCGGCGCTAACTGCTAGAGCTAACAGGCTAATTTGATGCTGAAACGGAACGCCTGAGGCGCTGCGGGACGTGAGGATCTGTCCTCTGCTGATGTCCCCCTTAAATCAGGACGGCTTTCAGCTTTATGGCCCTCCATTTATTTCTCCATCAAAACCCACATTTTCCCCTGTAATCGCACTCACAATGTAGCGAGCGCTAAAGAAAGGCTTAGCGAGCGCTTTTCACTCCGAACTGCCATTTAAACTCTGACAGCTCTGATACGGGACACTCATACTAACACTGCGGGACAAGAGCTTTGGAAATCTGTAAAAATAAGCATGAAAAGGACTTTTATTCACTTTTAATTTTCATATTTTATTGATTTAAGAGATAATGGACAATATTTCTAATTGGAGCTACAATATCATCTTGTTTTGGCAACTGAAATTGTTTTTGAAATTTTCTCACTCGTTGTTGTACGAAATATTTTTGAAAACGAGCAAAATCATCTGCCAAAATATTGAGACAATCTGACTTCCTTAAATCACAACACAAGTTGAAAAAAATCTAGAAATAAGTTTCAATAATCTTATAATCGACTTAAATCAATCTCTAAATAAGAAATATTACATATATTAACTAGATTTCACATCATTTTACATGCCAAGATGCCATTTTTTTTACAGTGCGCAGTTCTTTTATTACGGCTCTACCACAAAAGTCATGTTGAGCCAGAAACACCAACATAGCTAGCAGTGAATGACGCTAGCAGCTAACAGCTAGCAGTTTTTGTGCTTCGGTAACCTCCATCATTATTTGCTGCAATGCTTAATTTGGCATTTTTGGCTTTAAAAAATATAAAATTTATCGGCAGATAATGGATGAAAATTACCAAGGTGCAAAAAAGAGTTTGAACAGCTAGCCTAGCTTTTATTCATTGCTAGCCACGTTAGCGTTTCTAGCTCAACATGACTTTTATTGTGGTAGAGCTACAATAAAAGAACTGTACACACAAAAAAATGATACCTTGGCATGTAAAATGATCTACAATCGAGCTAATGTATGTAATATTTGTGATTTTAAGACAAGATGGCTAAAAACGCTAACCCAGCTAGCAGTGAACGAAAGGTAAAAGGCTTGTGCGCCTCGGTAGCTTCCATCCATCACTAGCTAGGTTGGCTTCTTTGGCTTTAAAAATCACAATCACTGAATTTGCTGTGATTAAATAATGCTAACGATGCTAAGGCCAAAAATGCTAACATGGCTAGCACTGAATAAATGCGTGAGGCATAAAAACCTGGCTGTTCACACCGATAAGCTCCATACACTATTAATGACATTAGCGTTTTGGCCTTGGAGGCTTGTTTACCACCTCAGTCTGCCATAATTTAATAAAAAGGTTAAAGTAATAACATTTTGCTTCTTAATAACGTTCAGATTTTACGCAGTATCTCACTTTAAAAGCCATGTAAAAGCTGTATTTGAGTGCGAGGGCTAGAAAGGCGTAACATACAGCACATGCAGGCTGCAACACTATGGAGAGCCGGTAGGGACAAACCAGGAAAACGCATTGATGGCATTAAAAACCATAACGGTCATAATTTGTCATGTGAACTTTCACAGCCCACACAATAAACATCATGTTGCGTTGTTATTAAACGGGCTTAACTGCCTCCATCCCTTCAGCCTGTAGTGTTTAATAATGGCTCCTAGGACCAGATCCCACCCAGGACCACAGGGATGTTGAATTATAAGCAGTGGGCAGCAGGTTAGAATATCTCTGCCCTTCCTCTGACCACAGCCGTTTTGCCCTTGAGCGATGCGTTTAACCCCACTTGTCTCGGTTATACTGCAACATGGCACATCCCTCAGCTCGGCCTTGGAGGCCTTGAAAATCCCGCTCGGTCATCCTACTGCAACCAGTGAACCTACACGAGTCTTCTGAGTTTATATGGAATGTTGATGATGGAAAAATAGAGGAAAATCTAAAATAATAAGCTTTTGCTTCACAGCACTCTGAATATATAAATGGAGCTTAACCCTCTGGGGTCCACAAACTCGCTTGCACATGAAATTCTGTGTTTCTGTATCTGTTTGTGTATCTTTGTGATGATCCAGCTCAGAAATCCAGTTCAGACACTTCCTGAATCTGTAGAGTCGCCCTTTCCATTCCATCTTATCACGAGATCATACGACCCTCACATCCGGAGTTATGAGCCTATGAAGAGGGGCTGAGATACACGGCATCTGCCTCTCACCGTGTGGAACTGGTGGATTCGTGTGTCCGTCTACATTCGCGTGAAACTGACCAATGGACACTCAGGAAATCACTAAGAACTGACCATCACGCCGGAAACCCTTCATTCTTCATTCAGTCCACATCGGAGACTCATGTGAAACGGCGTGCAGAGAGTTTACAGCTGCTGAAGCTGCTGCAGCGGTTTTGGAAAGTAGTGATGAAGATAACGGAGCATTTAGATATGAAACAGATGAGGATCATGATATATGAAGAGCCTTTAAAGGAGAGTTTAAGGAGAGATGAACAGATCATAAATATAGAACATAAAACAGTGTCTCAGTTATCAGGCAGTGAATTCATAACCATTTCATGTAGGAACTTTCTGTGAGGGAGCTTTTAGAGGTGGACGTCTGGTTCCTATCACCACCACTGTGATCAATTCTGACTTTATTTATGTTTTAACGTTTGAAGAGGTGGCTGATGCTAAAACCACTGTGCAGTGAAAGCCTAAGACCAACATACCGTTATCTCCCATCTTGCGTATGGCTGTTCGTCAGCCAGGAAGTCCAGGGATTCGACGGCCATGTTGCTGAGTCGTGGGATGGCGCAGTCGACAGCCTTGGAGCTCAGGAAGGTGGCTTTGGTTCGCTGCTCCTCTCCGCTAATCCACTCCTCATTCACACGCTGTAAAACCATAAAACAGCAATCAGTTTACAGAATACATGAATAGAACTCATTATACAGTTACAGTCACACTCACTGTCCACTGTATCAGCTCCACTGACCATATAGTTTCACTCTGTAGTTCTACAGTTACAGACTGTAGTCCATCTGTTTCTCTGTTACCCTGTTCTTCAGTGGTCAGGACCCCCACAGAGCAGGGAGGTCATTCTTAGCACTGCAGTAACACTGAAGTGGTGGTGGTGTGTTAGTGTGTGTTGCGCTGGTCTGAGTGGATCAGACACAGCAGTGCTGCTGGAGTTTTTAAACACTGTGTCCACTCACTGTCCACTCTATTAGACACTCCTACTTAGACGGTCCACCTTGTAGATGTAAAGTCAGAGACGATAGCTCATCTGCTGCTGCACAGTTTGTGTTGGTCATCCTCTAGTCCTTCATCGGTGGTCACAGGACGCTGCCCACAGGACGCTGCCCACAGGACGCTGCCCACAGGACGCTGTTGGCTGGATATTTTTGGTTGGTGGACTATTCTCAGTCCAGCAGTGACACTGAGGTGTTTAAAAACTCCAGCAGCACTGCTGTGTCTGATCCACTCAGACCAGCACAACACACACTAACACTCCACCACCACGTCAGTGTTACTGCAGTGCTGAGAATGACCCACCACCCAAATAGTACCTGCTCTGTGAGGGTCCATGGGGGTCCTGACCACTGAAGAACAGGGTAAAAGGGGGCTAACAAAGTATCAGAGAAACAGATGGACTACAGTCTGTAACTGTAGAACTACAAAGTGCACCTATATAGTAAGTGGAGCTGATAAAATGGACAATGAGCGTAGAAACAAGGAGGTGGTCAGAACGTTATGCCTGTATATAAATCGCTGCTGTCGGAAGAAAACCTCGTTTTTCAGTTTTTGACGTAATTTGAAAATGCCTGTTGCTCTTTACATTGTATGTGAATTTCATGATGAATGGACTAAAGAAACGGCCCAAAATGACTTGGAAAAAATTCTGGTTCCATTGACTCACATTAAAAGTAAAGTAGGTTTTCTCCTTCTCCTGTAAAGTTCCAGGTTTTCTTCCGACAACAGTGATATAGTATTTTTCCCCAATGTCTTACTTCAGTAAATAAACAGTAATTGTGCATCAGAATGTGCAGAAGTGTGTTCTCTGTAGAGGATGTCAAACGACAGGATGTGCTGAGCTGTATATTTATTATAAATTTTGATTAAATACTCATTTATTCTCTGAAAAGGTGCTTTTTTCCCATGATGGGCCCTTTAATGTAAAAATAAAGGCGAGTTCTATTCTACACTCTCTTCAAGCACTTATCATTATCTTTGAACTTGTACCAGTGAAATTCTCTGCTATATCACAGGTGGCGTTAAAGAAGAGAGCGGTTACGCGGGCTCGTCTGTCCTCGTGCCCTTGTAGCGCTTTAATGTTGGCGCTAACATAAGCAGCGATGAAGGATTATGTTTAATGATTTGTTCGTCGGAGCCTGAACGTGAAGAGACTTTGCCTGGATGAGCGCTGCTCTTCGATCGGGGGGCACTTGATAAATCATAAAGGAATAAATTAAGCATGAGCGCATTCGTACATTCTGGATGAAGGACGATGCGGCGGCGTCTAAACTTTGGCCTTCTGTTTTTTTGTGTTCTTTTTTTTTCTCTTAAAAAAGACGGAGAACATAATGAACGCCGGACGCTCGTCCTCCAGCGGCCCGCGGAGAGAGTGAGAGGAATGAAAAACGGAAGACAGAGAGAGAGAGAGAATCATCCAGAGTGGATTTCTGAACCAGTGCGAACCTCCAACATTCAGAATTCGGCAGAAAACTGAAGGTTCAGACGCTGAAAGTACAAGTTATTCAGATTTCAGGAGATTCTTCTGTAGATATCAAATATAAGACTAGAGAAGCGAAGTTCCTGAGGAGAATACACAGTGATTACTCAGATTAATTAAGCTGTAGCATCCCAAGTGGTTGTTATGGTGTTGCTAGGTGGTTGCTGTGGTATCCCACGTGGTTGCTAGGGTATTGCTCATTGGTTGCTTTGCCACCACTCATAAGCTGCCTGTAATGAAATATTATAGAGGTGATTACTTTGCTTAAGCACATTTCAGATGGTTGCTAGGGTGTTGCTAGTTGGGTACTGTGGTATTTTAGGTGGTTGCTAGAGTGTTGCTAGGTGTTTGCCATGGTATCCCACGTGTTTGCTATAGTGTTGGTATGTAGTTGCTATTGTAGCCCAGGGGGTCACTAGAGTGTTGCTACGTGGTTACTATGCTATTTTAGGTAGATTCTAGGGTGTTGCTTGGTGCTTACTGTGTTATTTTAGGTGGTTGCTAGGGTGTTGCTAGGTGTTTGCTACTGTATCCCATGTGGTTACTGTAGTGTTGGTATATAGTTGCTATTGTATCCCAGGTGGTTGCTATGGTGTTGTTAGGTGGTTGCTGTGGTATCCCAAGTGGTTGCTAGGGGGTTGCTAGGTGATTGCTATGCCACCTTTCAAACTCTCTCGAAAGGAATATTATAGAAGTGATTACTGAGCTTAAGCAAATTTCAGATGGTTGCTAGGGTGTTGGCACGTGTTTGCTACAGTATACCAGTGGTTGCTAGGGCATTGCCAGGTGGTTGCTATGCTATCCCCAGTGGTTGCTGTAGTGTTGGTATGTAGTTGCTATTGTATCCCAGGTGGTTGCTATGGTGTTGCTAGGTGGTTGCTGTGGTATCCCAAGTGGTTGCTGTGGTGTTGCTTGGTGGTTGCTATGTCACCACTCATAAACCGCCTCTAATGAAATATTATAGAGGTGATCACTTAGCTTAAGCAAATTTCAGATGGTTGTTAGGGTGTTAGAAGGTGGTTACTATGGTATTTTAGATGGTTGCTAGGGTGTTGTTAGGTGTTTGCTAGGTATCCCAAGTGGTTGCTAGGTGGTTGCTATGGTATCCCCAGTGGTTGCTAGGGTGTTGCCAGGTGGTTGCTATGGTATCCCCAGTGGTTGCTAAGATGTTGTTAAGCAGTTGCTATAGTGTCCTGGGTGGCTGCTAAGGTGGTTGCTAGGGTGTTGCTGTAAGGTTGCTATGGTAGCCCAGACGGTTTCTGTCCATCTTTCCACCGTGAGAAGACGACTCAGCGCTGTGGGTCTGAAAGGATGTGTAGCTGATCAAGAAGAACCTCACTGAGAAAAGGAGACGGACACATCAAACAAAGAAGCTGAACAATGGACTGACCACCCCAGAGTCCAGACCTCAACACCACTGAATGTGTTTGATTACTTCAGAAAATGATCAACCAGCTTCTAAGACTGAACTTTGGTGGTGTGTCTGCAGATTCTTTGAGGAGCTGAAAGTGAGTCTCCTGAAAAGAATGGAAGCTGGAATAAAGGGAGAGCGATTCACTGACTCACTGACTCACTGACTCACACAGCTGAGAGCAGATTTAGCTGTTGAGGCTTCTGATGTTTTCTGCTTCTTTTCCTGATGCTGAAAAAATGAATAACTCATTTGTTTTGAGTGGATATTATACACTGTATGAAGTGAGAGGTTTAAAAGTTGCAGATTGAGTCTTTAGAGTCCGGTCCCTCTGCGTAATTCCCCGTTTTTCTGATATTTGCTCTGTTTATTACTCCTGAGATCGTCCACTCCTCCTGCTCCTCTTCAGCGCACCGTGTTAATTATGAATGGAGACAGATGGCAAGTGGATATTAAACACACTTACGCCACCACTCATAAACTCTCTCTAATGGAATACTATCCAGGACGGCTTCAGTAAGGAGAAAAGTAAGAGTCACGAAAATAAGGGAGATTAAGTGCTTAAGAAATGAAGTTGCTGATATACACAGCCTGAGGGACTGAATTAAATCCAGCCTTGACACTCTGACCCTTAACCTCCACTGCTGAAGAGAACTGTTCGGTGCTTTATTTCAACAAAAGATTGTTAATATTGGGTATGAATGTCAATTCTAACACTCTTAATAAAAGTTCCAGTCTGGCTTTCAGGGTCATCACAGCACAGAAACCGCATTAATTGAACTCTTAAAGTCTTAAAGTTGTTGACCACAAAACATTACTTGGCTCCAAAGCTGGGTGACTCACTGTAGCTCCATCTTAACCTTTCTTATCAATCTTATCGAAGTGGTCGAGAGCACCATGTTGCACTTCGTGCTTGTCCTTTGTACTGTGGCGTACCTCAAGGCTCAGTCTCGGGGCCAATTCATTTTCCTTTATTTTACCAGGAAGGCCAACTGAGATCAAAGAATCCTTTTTACGAGAGAGACCTGGCCGTACAGACTCACAACATATTAAAATATAATATCTACAACATATAAAACATGGTGCACAGAAGAGCTCAAAGGCCTCTGAAGGAAAACAACCACATCTCATTCACCACATTCTTTAGGATGCTCTTACAATTTTTCAGTGGATGTAGTCTATCTAGTTTGAGATCTTTCTGTAGAGGTAAGCTGGAACTTTACCCAGTGTTGCTTTATAAATACAAATATACCAGTGCTGTTTTTGCGAGTGGTCAATGATGTCCAGCCCACCAATTCATAAGAAATGCAATGGTGAGTAAGAGAATTTGCATTTTTGGTAAAGACACTGATGCATGGTACCCTGAATCAATGCATATACAATATACCACCGTAATCAATCACAGGCAGAAAATTAGCTTCCATAAATTTTTCTTAGCATTAAAAGTAAAACAAGATTTATTTCTAACATAAAAATCAATACAGTTTAATCAGTTTAATCAATTACTTTTTACTTGAGCCCTGCCACTTATTATTATTATTATTATTATTATTACTGTCCTGACATATCTCTGACATAACTATGACATAAACATGTCCTGGAAGATGTAAAATGCAGTCATGACCGATTTTCTTCGTTCATAAATAGTTATAAATATGATTTTAACTATTTTCATTTTGTAACGCTGTTTCTAAGCATACTCTAATAATGCAAAGGCTGTAATATTGTACTATAATTAATTCTTTGATGATTAATAAACGATACAAGTGTCACTCTCCATTATAATACCTTTTACGCAGATGATCTGTACATAATTATAGAGCACCTACAACGTTTATTAACAATCGTAAAAACATTTTGAACATTTAAAATAGAGTAATTGATATTTGAGGTGTTAAATGTTGTACTGTTCGTGTCTGTCAGTGTGCAGCCTAATATACTGCATAGCTGTTATAATTTCAGGATGAGCTTCCTGCCCTGGAAGATTAATTATGCACCACTTATGTATTCCAAGCATATTTGGACACAGCAGAACAAACAAATGTACAAAACAATAGTCAGACAATTTTAAAATTTTTAAAAATTAACAATAGAGAAAAGTAAGAAATTAAACTTCTTAAATTGCAGTAACGTGTCTGTGCTTGTGTAATAGTACAGCTGCTTTATGATGGTGCACAGGTCTTTATCCACTTATAAAACATTATAATGAATGAATGTTCATGTTTATGAATCATTATTAGAGTTAATAAATATACTTACAAAGCGTTGTTAGCAAGTTACAGTATTATAAGCGCATTACTAATAGCTTATGAATATGCGCTTCATGGACATGAATCTTCAAGGGTTCTTTAGTAAAGGCAATGGTTCAACTTGGAACCATGAGATCTAAATAGAACCATTTCATGTTTAAATTGTTCTTTTCATGGTGAAATGATTCCTCAGATTGATGGAGAATGTGTTGTATATGTTCTATATAGCAGCAAATACTGTTATGGGTATGACGTCAAGCCTTTAACAACAGAAGAACCCTTTTTAGTACGATTTAGAACCATACACAACACATTCTCCATCAATCTGAAGAACATTCCACCATGAAAAGAACGATTTAAGCTTGCAAACCGCTGCCTTTGACTAAAGAACCCTTGAAGAACCATCTTTATTAGTGAGTAGAGAGTGTTAGAAGGCGTTCTGACCGTGAGTTTGGTGACAAAGCAGGTGAGCTTCGGCGAGTCGATGAAGCCGAGTCCAAACACTCTCACGCTGTCGCAGTCCAGCGCGCGGACATCACACACTCCGCCGTTCTCCAGGTCGGTCAGCTCCACCGGCTGGCCTGCAAACACACACACACACACACACACACATTACATTCAGCACTGCAGGGTTTAATCAGCTCTATCACATTTATTACTGATTATATTACAGCTTATGATTCACATTTCGCAGAACAAATCTCAGAACAATCACGCTGAAGTTTGTCTATTAACCATTTCTGAGTCATAGCTCCCTGAAACAGGTGGAGAAACTGTGTTGAAAGTGCAGATTCTAAACTTTCAGTCCAGATCACGTTAGTGTCTGTAAGTAGAAGAGGAAATATATTATTATTTTTTATATTTTATATATATTTTATTTATTATTTTTTATTTTTTTCAGTTTTTGACATAATTTGAAAAAACACAATCTTTATGGCTCCCGAGTGGCGCAACCGTCTAAGCGTTGGCCCTCATCAGGAGATCGCGAGTTCGATCCCTGGTGATGCTACAGCCGTCCGTAGCCGGGAGTCCAAGAGAGCACAATTGGCCTCACTCTCTCTGGGTGGGTGGGATGGCTGCCTTTCTCCCCCCATCACTCAGTGCGATGCTAGTCAGCACAGGCGTCTGTTAGCTGACGTAACAGATCTGGCGGTTGGCGCTTTCCTCCGAGCGCGTTCGGCTGTCCAGTGACGTTGCGTGAGTGGCAGTTCGAAAAGATGCGGTGGCTGGTTTCACAGGACTCAGAGGAAGCCTGTGTTAGCCTTCACCCTCCTAGCGTTGATAGCATCGTGTGATTGGGGGAGTCCTAACTAGCGGGTGGAATTGGCAAAGACTAAATTGGGGAGAAAAGCTGGGTAAAACAATCTTTATATTGTGTGTAAATTTCATAAAGAATGGATCAAAAGAAACGACATAAAATAACTTGGAAAAACGTTACAGTACATTAAAAATAAAGAGTTTTTTGGAGATACAAAGTTTTGTTCCGACAGCAGTGATATGATGAAGTTATTGTTGTGTGTGCAGCCTCGTTTTTCACAAACACAAAAAACAACCTTCACGTTTTTTGCTGCTTTTACCATTTTTTGATTCTGAAGTGGTTCAGAGACAAAATCATCCATTCAGATTAGAAATTTAATGTAAATGTAATGAATTATGTAATTACTATATAATGAATTATGTAACTGTTTAGGGGGGTTACTGCATATTTATTATCAAGCTTTTGAACTATATAAAGTCTAGGAAATGATTAATGAACACTGAGGCAAATACCGGTTTTAAACAGGGAATTCCACCAATTTTTAAAATTCCCCCATAACTCAGTGTGTGAGATGTAATCAGAGAGATTCAGAGAAGTTTGGTGTGAAATGGTTCAGATGTCTTTACAGTGGTGGTGATAGGAACCAGGGGTCGCCATGACTACAACACTAATATAGACATTTTATTTACTATCCAGAACCACCAGTGAACCTACACGAGTCTTCTGAGTTTATATGGAATGTTGATGATGGAAAATAGTGGAAAATCTGAAATAATAAGTTTTCTTTGGGGATTATTTTGCCTCACAGCGCCCTGCATGTATCCCTCCACCATGAATGGAGTTTATTCTCAAAACTATCATAAAACAGTGTCTCAGTCATCAGGCAGTGAATTCATAACCATTTACTGTAGGAACTTTCTGTGAGGAGCTTTTAAACCACTCTGAATGACTTTGTTTAAAAGTTTAATTATGCAGACATTTTTAAAAACACATGGAATTCTATGATACGAATGTCAGTTCTTAATGGTCGACAGTAAACAGCAGATTTTCACAGTCTTAAATATTATAAGTATTCCAGCACTGGGGGCGGAGCTACCATGGTTTTGCTTTTTTTGTTAAACATCTCTTATTTTTGTTTAACAAAGAGAGCAAACACACACACACACACACACACACACACACACACACACACACACACACACACATGTACGGTCACACACTCCCCAGATGTAAATGTGTTTCTCGTTGGTGTGATGTGAGACACTTTGATAAGGTCGAATCTGAATCTCGGTGCTTCTTCACGCTTCATCCTAAATGTCATTTGTTTCTCGTGGCACAACCCGACTCCAGAAATCCCCCCTCCCCGGACCGCCCATCCGCCCACACACACAGCAGCTCCAAATACAGTTCCATTAGTGTGTGTGTGTGTGTGTGTGTGTGTGTGTGTGTGTGTGTGTGTGTGTGTGTGTGTGGTTTCGCACATTATCGACTCTTCCATACGGCGAAGAATACAAAGTTTTACTCGTGTAACGGAAATAGTTGACGTGCCGAATCTTCCAGTGGGTTTTTACAGGTTCATGCTTAGGGTCTCGAGCCACTAGGGGGCCACCTTGAGCAAATATGACAAAATCTAGACAGCTGTTTTGATTCACGGTGGGAACTTTACTAGGGGCACAGCAAGACCAACTAATTTTACAATAGAACCTTTTCACAAGAAACGGAAGAGCATAAACTGCTCTCGACATGAAGTGTCATTTTTTAATATATTTTAGTCTGGAAATGCCGAGAAAGCAGGACAGTGTGCTGAGGGGTGGAAGTGCGGTTGCATCATACAATACAACCAATTTAAGCACCTGCAGAGGTTTCATGTCAAAGAGTACCAGTAGTTCATGTCAACAGACAGGAAGACAACCAGGCAGCGACTCTCGCTGATCACAGAGAAGCTGCCCAGCTTCATTATACTTGATGACCAACCACAGCCTGTTGAAGCACTTAGAGCCCAGGAATAACCTGCCATCCAGAACATACATTTCAGAGACGGCGATACCTGAACTGCACAACCGGGTGTCATCACAGTTAGTGGTGCAGTTAGATGTTAAAACCATGAGCTTCACAGCTGATATTTGGACCTCAGATGTGAGTCCAGTCTGTACTGGTATCGGATATTAGAGTTGTGTATCCGAATCGGATCAGAACTGAAAAAAACGTGGATCGACCCCTCAATACATACAACCTTCCTCTGTCGTGAATCTATTATAACGTGTCATTTCTCCGTCTGTGTTCTGATTTATGCATTTCTGTCATGTTTTCTCATCTGTTTGGTTTATTTGATGTTGACATTTCATGTTGTAATCTGTGAGCATCTTTGGGTCTTTGAAAATCAGTATATCGCTGCTGTCGGAAGAAAACCCCGTATCTCCATTTTTGACGTTTTTCAGATTTTGACATAATTTGAAAATACCAGTTGTCCTTTACATTGGGTGTAAATTTCATGATGAATGGACCAAAACAAATGACCTAAAAGGACTTCTGGTTCCATTGACTTACATTAAAAGTAAAGCAGGTTTTTTCCTTCTCCTGTAAAGTTACCATTTTGGAGATATGAGGTTTTCTTCCGACAACAGTGATATACATGTCATGTATGGTTATTGTTGTTGTTATTATTTTTAAAACACAAAAACAAAGCAGCTCCATACAGACATGGAGTGACCAGTTTGGTGTGGAGGAACTCCAGTGATCTGCACTGAGCCCTGACCTCAACCCCACTGAACACCTTTGGGATGAACTGGAACGCTGATTGTTTCACAGTCAGCAAAGAGAAAAAATGTAATTTAGCAGACAGTACAGGTCACTTTCTAACACAGGTCAGGGAAGTTATGCACAGATAATGGCGCTTTGAGTGGAATGTCAAACTGTCCTTCGCGGCGAATGTTCCCAGACTGAAAGTTAGGAATTCAAAGAATGCCAATGTGTGAAAACTGCAGACATTCAACAGCCCAATAAAGGCACTCAAGTACATCAGCAGTGAAAAACAAGTCAGCGCCACGTGAAGCTGAGGCAGCCGACATCCACACTCCAGTAAAAGTGTTACTGTAATGAAATAATGACTTGACTAATGTCTAAAGGCCTAAAAAGTCCTGGTGTACTTTAGTGGAAGTTCTTAGTATGTCCATCCTTCTATCAGCAGAGGGTTTGAATGGCTCTGTTCTTCTATTTCGGGATTCTTTTGGTGTAAAATAAAACCCTAAAGCTGTAAAGCGAGAGGAGTGATCAACAGCAAAGCAGAACAGGAACTGAACCAACACAACACAATGAAATTAAACCCAAAAAACAGAATGAGGAGCTAAATGTTAATGACTAGCCCAGGGGCTGCAACCCAAATGTTAGGAAGAGCCATTTTCTCCTTTCAACAAAAATCAAACCACTTTGGGAGCCACAGCATTTTATGTCCATTTTACCATCTTAGCTGTAAATATGTCTCAGTATGTGCTGATGAACTAAAATAGGCTAAAAAATATAAACAAAAACTCAGACTTGCTTTGCTCTGCTTTAATCTTCAGCTCAGCTACAGCCGCTTTTCTCACATCTCCAGCAGGAAACTTTTCCTCAAAAGTAGAACAGTTTCTTGTAAAACGTCTCTCAACATTGGACTTTTTACGAGGCCGAAGTCGCTTCTCATTCGCCAGCTTCTTGTTGAATTTTTCTGTGCCACCTTAAATGAAGTATGCAGAATGTAACTGCTGCACCATTTAAGGTGAAACAGGAAAATTCGAACAAGAAGCTGGAGAAGTTTCTCGCTGCAGATTAAACGTATCAGGAAACCAGCTGGAGTGATTATAAACACTAATAAGTCCATTCATCTCCAAATCATCGATGTTCGTCTTAAATCTCTCTCTTTGCTGTTTCGTTAGATACTAGCTGGGCGAGACTGTTGTCTGTGTTGCTATGGTGACCAGCAGTCTGCGCTGATCTTCAGGGTTAAAGGGTGAATCAGCAGTTCTACATTAACTCCAGAGTTTAAGACCATTTATTGTTAAACTGTGTTGAACGATCAGCAGAGCTTTATTTTACTGTAAAGGAGGATTATTTTAGTTTTACCTACATATCTAATCGCACGCGGCTCCGGAGCTGCGTGTTGCCGACCCCTGGACTAGATGAACTAAACAAGTAATAATTTTACTCACTAATTTATTTGAGTAGAGGTAAAAGTACTACCAATTAAAAAAAAAAAAAACAGTAGTACAAATCCTTTAATAAATCAGATATTTACATAGAACTCTGGTTGAACTCTGGGCTGGTTACTAGCACTGGAGCTACGAGGCT